TGAAGGGTTATAGCCAGAACTACTGATAAGGGATATGCTAGCAGTTGTGATGTCCTAAGGAAATGTTCCCCTACAAATATTCCGCCCCACATACCTTTTTGAAGTTTGAGAGTGGCTGGGCAGTATTGAGACATGGCGGGGTACAAACTTTGACAGCATAAAGCACGCCGAGGGTATCGCATTTTGTCGAATTAATCTTGGAAGGTGGGATCTATACTGACCGTCTATCGTTACGCGGAAAACTGTTGCGAAATCAGGTAAAGTTTTTCTCGAACAGCTGAAATGAATTCGAATTTCATTAATCGGCGAAGTAATCTAGATTCCTTGTGACTATAAAGTGCAGTATAGTACTAAGGAAGGACTGTGCAATTGATTAACCTTTCAGACTTAGGAAACAGCTTTTAGTAGCAGAAGTCTTATAGCTGTAAATAGCCGTTTATGGCTGTCGCGAAAATCGGTATTTTTGTTTTAGACCGTAAGTCCAAGTGTCACACGCCTTGAGCAAAAGTCAGCAGTAGAAGTACTTTTTAAAAAGCACTCCTGCTGCGAGTGTTTATCAGTTTCATTTCCCTCTTCAAAATCAGATACTGATTGTTGAACATTAAGATTTATGTGCCAGCCGGCGAACAGCGTGATACTGCTCCCGGAGATCAGGGCACAAAAATTGCAAAGGCTGCGGAACAAGAGGCGCCGACAAGTGGTGAAATTCCGAAGGATGACGGTTCGATTTTGTCATTTGACTCTATCCCTTTTTGTGTATATCACTCCAAGAAAAAGCCAGAATGAGAGAATTGGGAACAAAATAGTTCCTTATGTTGTTAAAAGGTGGAACTTATGTATGGTTTCCGTCGATTGGGTGTTTTTCGCGGATAATGGAGGCAGAAAAAGCATTGTGCGGAACGCTGTGTTGTATGTGTTATGGGATTTTTTGTTCTGGCGAAATTCCTGCCAGGAAGACGAGCGCGTACTTTCCATCCGGCATGGCGAAGTTCATCGTTTTTATCGAAGTACCAACTTACAACAGTATAAGGCAGAATAACGCCTTCGTCGCCCATATCTTTTCTGATCGTCCTGAAATTGATAAGTCGGTCGAACTGCACGGGGGAGATTAGTTTTCACGGCTGTCCATTCGGCTACCGATGCACCGCAGATAGTGCGTCCCTATTACTTACAGTGATTTTGCTGATAATTCAGTCATCCGTGAGAGGGGGGAAAATATACTGAAGAAGAGTGGGCGCTAGTTTTGAAGAAAAGTACAGTGAAGGAAAGGATTCTTAGAGAGATTCTGTGATCGCACAGAAAGTGAAGCGATCTGAACAGGGCGTGTTTTTGTGACATATCGCCTTGTCCATAACAGAAAGTGAAGTCAGCTGGACTGATTGCGTTAGCCATCCAGCTGATGACCTGTTAAAATAATCTGTTAGTGTTAAAAAGCAACCGCTGGAACGGTCGTTTGAGTAAAAAACTCTCATGCATGGTATAAATGGCAAACAAGACACAAGTTTCCCGATTGCGAGAGCTGACATAACTATGCCTATGGCTGCAACTCGAAAAAATGGGAAGCTTCGTATAATTTCGATGAAAAAAAATTCAAATGAATTAAAATGAGTAAAAATGTGCCAGCCCAGATTTATAAGCGTATAAGCCTTTTTCATAAAGGCCGGCCATTTAGTCGCCGTAGCTCCTTTCAGTCCTTCTACATTTGTTTTTTTTTTTTAGAAATGATGGTGAGAACGGATGACAGCGTACGGACTGCGACTTCAGGAGACTTTGGTGTAGTCAAGCGCTCTGGTGAGGCATTGGAGCCGGAGGAACTGGATGTGGCAAAGCTCGCTAAAGAGCATTCGGAAGCATTGGCAGCGGCGAATGTTGATGATACTAAAACTGCTGTATGTCATATTTCGTTTTTCTTGCACAAGAATATTTTATCAGAAAAAGCTTTTTATCAAATTACAGCAAAAATGCCCATTTCTTTGAGGGTAGTGCATTCTAGCCAGTTCTGCAAGCTCTGCTTTTATGCATTTCCCACCGCTGTTGCAGCGCGGAACACATATTGTCAAGATCCTGGTATGCAGATGTGTATGTACATGTATGTATGTGTGTTTATTTGTTTGTTTGTATGTACATTTGCGTGTTGCGTGTGTATGCTCCAGGTTTAGGTCTGGCTTACAAGTCGTAAAGGCTGTGAAGTTAAAATTTTGAAAAAGTGTTTCCTATTCAAGTACAGTTTTGAAAATTTGAACATTGCTGAAAAGTTTCTGAAAGACTTTTAGTCTGAGTAAGTCGGAGAGTCTAAATTTGACCTCTTACCTCTGAACGCGATGTTTGATTCCAGAAGCCTGAAGATGAATGGGGAGGTGAGCAAGGCGCCCGTAATCAAATTCGGCACGGTTATGATAGGGTGACAACATGGTTGAAGTGTCGAGGGTGCAGGCAGCGGACGTTCAAAACTTGCGCTTTTCGACAAACAAGAACATGAAATCGAAACTCTGTCCGTAATCACTCACTGTGAGAAGCGGAGGCACTCGAAAGTAGCCATTTAAAGTGTGCGCTTTTTGACAAATAGTAATCTGAAGACTACTCCTGGGTGCTATCGCATCTCATAGAGAGTAAGTTTTGATTTGACTTCTGAAAACAATAATTTGAAAACGAACTGAACGCAAGATCGGATAACTGGAGCAATTTCGCCTGTTCCTTTGCTTCAGGTACCACCACCATTCAAACTGGAACCGAAGCGTGAGAAGTATGTTATTGAAAAAAGGGATCCACCCGAACTGGCACTGCAACGCAGTAGACCAGAACGCGCACAGCCGCGAGAACGCGTCTATAAACTTTTGCCCCGTGACATTGAATTTTGTGTGCGCATGATCGAGAAGCACGGAGACAATTATGAGGTTCTTCATTCTTTAATACAGCACTGCAATCGCGGGCGTATCCTTCAATATTTTACTTAACCAGTAATTAAGTTCTTAAAGACTGAGCGGTACATCTTGTACACCAATGCTTTTAAGGCAATGGAAGCCGATGAAGGCAATATCTATCGTGATTCGGCCAAGAGAATTGCGCGCAAGATAAGGGTGTTTAAGGAGAGCCCACAGTACGACGAGTATCTGGATGAGAAGTCGTCAAAAAGCAACTCCACTGATAAAAATGTTTAATCTTGATCGGCTCTTTGGGTATTTGTTACTAGTCTAACGTGTTTTAAATCATTTATTGTAAAGCGATGCAACTGGGTGTATTATGCTTGGGAGACTGCTGTCTTGGGCCTTTTTTTCCCAGCTCGACTTCTTTGGACCTTTGGTGTTTCCAGCTTTCCAAACCAGGTTTTGGGGTTTTCTTTTCCTTTTTTTTTTTTTTGAAATCAACATGGATGTGGAATCTTTTCTTCTGCTTTCTTTTCGAAGTACTGTGTGGCATTCCCAGTGGCACTCGTTTTCATTCCACCAGGGTTTCTGCTGTCCGGTTTTGGCTTCCCTCTATCGCGATATTAGTTCAAAATGTGTGGTGGTTAGCCTCAGCTTTTTGGATCCTCAAGCAGTGCATTTGGGCGTGCTCCTTCCCCCCTCTCCTGTCTCTCCCTTGTTTTTTGCTATTGTCCACTGTAAGCCTTTTTCCCTTCGTCTGGTGTCAAGGCTCATTTTTGAATTGGTCTTAACCCTAGTCTGTAAAAAATGCATTTTGACATACCTCTCTTGCCCGTTTATCCGCCTCCTTCCCCCTTATTCCGCTCGCCTTTGTATCCGTTGCGTGCATCTCCTCGCTTCCCTTCTCCATGCCCCAGGGATTGTCCTTATGCCCTGTTCGTATGCCATCCCACCATATCAGTGTTCGCTTGAATTGTGCCTATTCCACACTGATAAAAAGGGGTATTTCTAATTCAGCTTACTGGCATAATAAAGCACAGCAGTGCAGTGAACAAATATTTCGATTGTACTGATGGTCTGCTGCTCTGATAAAACTTACTTGTGTTGTACATTTGCATTCATATCTTTTTTTAAGGGAGTATTTCTTCCCTTCGCAAGCAGATATAGCAATCAAAATTTTCTCCTTTTTTGGTCTTCGCTGTGTTCCAGTGAGAAGCGCGCAACTCGTCTTCTGACGCTGACTTTTTAACTTCTACTTTATTCTAATCGAATTTACGCAATTATGATCAAAACAATTTTACTGTTGCCACGTCGGCACGCTATGCCCCACCACGACGTCATCTAATCTATGCCCCTGTTATGCCAACAAACAACATAATTACCTTTAAATTGAGCACTCTTAGAAATTTCTATGACCTGCCTGGAAAATTGCATGAGCGGTAGCACACGGCAAAAGTTGTGACCTCATTTACCAGCAGTAGCACATCGCAAAAGTGGCGACCTCATTTACCAGGTACATTGAATTTAAAATGTTCTGCTCGTCGACTGAGGGTGCAAATCTTCGCGTCGTTGCGCTTCAAATCAGCGCAGTCTATAGAAAGCAAATGCTTTCAAGACAGGTCGGGGAGGGGGGAACGG